TTAATTAGTACAGAAAAAAAAATCCCAGTATCATTCCCACCTGGCTTTGTATAACTTTCACGTAAACCAATTAATTTACAACGATATTGGATGATATTTTATAGCATAGCAAGACTGCATGTTTCGGATAGCATATGCTTTTGGCAGCAAATTAGAATAGCCAAAAAGTGTATGATGGAACATTTTGTTTACACTGGACATTTTTATTGCACAAGCGATTTGTTCAATAAATCCAATTAACGCTATTCCTTAAAAATTTGTCAGTCTTTTTTTTTAGCGCAAAAATGGCAAAAAATACATTTATCGGGCGAATCTAAATACAACCGAAAGAACGCTCAATTTGTGGGGGGAAAAAGAGGACGTAAATTTTATTTGGCGGGTGTGCAGTGTTGCATGACCGTCTCGGCACTGTTTTTCAGCTTAAAGTAACGCAGCCAGACATAACACAAACCACTTCTGTAACTATAAAAGTGCTTCCTGACCCACCCTATAGCAATAAATACTGCAACATGGCGGCAATGGGTGTGCATAGTCAAAATACTATATGCTACATCAATATAATATAGTATATATCCGATATATATATGTGTAGTATATAACTATACACTTGATTTGCGCGCAGCCCGTGGTTTTCACGCCCCTCCTGAACATAGCGTCAGATTGCCCTCAGCACACCAGTTCATAAAATTTACACCCCTTCGGACTGCCAGGAACATGCTCATTACACAATAAACCTGCTAGTATATTGTGTCTGTAACGGATCAATATCTTTGATCAGATCAGCACTATACCATGTTTCACATTAGTATTGCGTCCCCAAAAATGCAAGCGCATTAGCGGGATCAGGCCCCGACACACCTGCCAGCAACCTGTGTTTAGCCCCTACGCATTACCCCCCCTTCTCCCCCAGCAAGATGCAGTGTCAGTAGGTCACTGTCACTTGATACATTGCACACAAAACCGCAGTGTTCACAGAACAGGCCTGATTCGGTCACTTGTGACACGGTAAAATTTTTATGACTCTCATATGCAGCAGAGTACCAGTACTAGTTGCCACGCTACCTGTTGTGTGAACTGGCAGGGAGCACCAGCAGTCTACTACAACTTGTTCTTTCACATATCTCTTAGATTGTAAGTAGAGCATGAGCGTTATCGAACTTGGCGACAGTGAAATTCGGTTTCGAATTTTCAGGACAAAATTCGATTCAGCGCCGGAATCAGTAACGAATTAGCTATACTCAGTTCGGATGCAGACTTCGATGTTACTGATCGAAGAGAATTTTTACTTCCAAAAATTGGCGGCGACATGGTGTGGCGACGAATAGAGCGGGGAGGGGGATCTCTGGGAAGGCGCGCAGACAAGGCGCGCTGACCCATATGAATTAATTCATTCATGGACATGTTATCGCATTTAGCCAATCAGCAGCCAGCCAGCCAGCACTGTGTTAAATGGTAGAGCTATAAAATTGTTTACTGCCGATCTTACAATATCTGCATTTGCCTCCGGTCATTACAAGAGAGTTACGGGACAGACACAGAATTGTTACTGAGGGGACACAGAATTGTTACAGAGGGACACAGAATTGATACTAGCAGGGACACAGAATTGTTACTCAGGGACACAGAATGTGTTACTCAGGGACACAGAATTGTTACTCAGGGACAGACACAGAATTGTTACTGAGGGGACACAGAATTGTTACTGAGGGACACAGAATTGTTACTGAGGGACACAGAATTGTTACTCAGGGACACAGAATTGTTACTCAGGGACACAGAATTGTTACTCAGGGACACAGAACTGTTACTCAGGGACACAGAATTGTGTTACTCAGGGACAGACACAGAATTGTTACTGAGGGACACAGAATTGTTACTGAGGGACACAGAATTGTTACTCAGGGACAGACACAGAATTGTTACTCAGGGACACAGAATTGTTACTCAGGGACACAGAATTGTTACTCAGGGACACAGAATTGTTTACTCAGGACACAGAATTGTTACTCAGGGACACAGAATTGTTACTCAGGGACACAGAATTGTTACTCAGGACAGACACAGAATTGTTACTGAGGGACACAGAATTGTTACTGAGGGACACAGAATTGTTACTCAGGGACACAGAATTGTTACTCAGGGACAGACACAGAATTGTTACTGAGGGACACAGAGAATTGTTACTGAGGGACACAGAATTGTTACTCAGGGGACACAGAATTGTTACTCAGGGAGGGACACAGAATTGTTACTCAGGAGGACACAGAATTGTTACTCAGGGACACAGAATTGTTACTCAGGGACACAGAATTGTTACTCAGGGACACAGAATTGTTACTCAGGGACACAGAAATTGTTTACTCAGGGACAGACACAGAATTGTTACTAGAGAGGGACACAGAATTGTTACTCAGGGACACACAGAATTTGTTACTCAGGGACACAGAATTGTTACTCAGGGACACAGAATTGTTACTCAGGGACACAGAATTGTTACTCAGGGACACAGAATTGTTACTCAGGGACACAGAATTGTTACTCAGGGACACAGAATTGTTACTCAAGGGACACAGAATTGTTACTGAGGGACACAGAATTGTTACTCAGAGGGACACAGAATTGTTACTCAGGGGACAGGGACACAGAAATTGTTACTCAGGGACACAGAATTGTTACTGAGGGACACAGAAAATTGTTACTCAGGGACACAGAATTGTTACTCAGGGACACAGAATTGATTACAGGGAGGGACACAGAATTGTTACTCAGGGACACAGAATTGTTACTCCCAGGGACACAGAATTGTTACTCAGGGGACACAGAATTGTTACTCAGGGACACAGAATTGTTACTCAGGGACACAGAATTGTTACTCAGGGACACAGAACTGTTACTCAGGGACACAGAATTGTTACTCCAGGGACACAGACATTGTTACTGACAGAATTGTTACTGAGGGACACAGAATTGTTACTGGGACACAGAATTGTTACTTGTTACTCAGGGACACAGAATTGTTACTCAGGGGACAGACACAGAATTGTTACTGACAGGGACACAGAATTGTTTTACTCAGGGACACAGAATTGTTACATCAGGGACAGACACAGAATTGTTACTGAGGGACACAGAATTGTTACTGAGGGACACAGAATTGTTACTGAGGGACACAGAATTGTTACTCAGGGACACAGAATTGTTACTCAGGGACACAGAATTGTTACTCAGAGGACACAGAACTGTTACTCAGAGGACAGACACAGAATTGTTACTACAGGGAATTGTTTACTCACAGAACTGTTACTCAGGGACACAGAATTGTTACTCAGGGACAGACACAGAATTGTTACTGAGGGACACAGAATTGTTACTGAGGGACACATTGTTACTCAGGGCACTCAGAATTGTTACTCAGGGACACAGACCGTTACTCAGGGACACAGAATTGTTACTCAGAGGGACACAGAATTGTTACTGAGGGACACAGAATTGTTACTGGGGACACAGAATTGTTACTGAGAATTGTGTTACTCAGGGACACAGAATTGTTACTGAGGACACAGAATTGTTACTCAGGGAAACACAGAATTGTTACTCAGGGACACACAGAATCTGTTACTGAGGGACACAGAATTGTTACTGAGGGACACAGAATTGTTACTGAGGGACACAGAATTGTTACTGAGGGACACAGAATTGTTACTCAGGGACACAGAATTGTTACTGGAGGGACACACAGAATTGTTACTGAGGGACACAGAATTGTTACTAGGGAGGGACACAGAAGAATTGTTACTCAGGGACACAGAATCGTTACTTACTCAGGGACACAGAATTGTTGAATTAAAGAGTTATGTCATGGACAACACGCAGAGGAGTTACTCAGAGGACAGAATCTGTTTTGTTTCAGGAGCGAGCAGACGTGGCAGCAGAGGAGGGGTCGAGGCAGCACTAGTCGCAGCCAGAGGCCAGTGTTCTCAGTGTCATCCAGCGGTCGTGTCTCCACCGACAAACCCTGCCGTCATCGATTGCAGAATTGGCTCGAATTCGTTACCTCTTCCCAGGTCACCTCTGACACCTACAGCCAACGGTCGGTGGGTACGTCATGGACACACAACCGTTAGTTGGCATGGCCCGGGAGCAAGCCCACTGAAATCACGTGTCCTCAGGGACCTGCCCCTGTCCTTTGGTGTTTCCCCTCACCAAGCAAGGCAAGTATCGCATGCTGGTGGGACTCAGCCCCACTGTACAGTGAGGAAGAGCTAACAGAGGGCGGTCAGGAACGGGGGGGGACATCCGCCTCTTTCAGCAGCCAGGCGAAGAAGTGTACTGGCGAGGAGAGTGGCTCGGTAGCCGGTCTAGAGACAGGTCTGTCTCCTGACCCACAGACGCAGCCGAGGGGGCTAGTAGTGAGGCGGAGACCCTAATTGATGATGATGAGGCTGATCGCACTTGGCAGCACTCAGGTCGTCATCAGGCAATTGCTTCCGCATCATCAGGAGAAGAGGGTGCCAGCTTGGCAGCGAGCAAAAACAGTCGGTGGGTTGCCCAGGAGGCAGCAGGGTCGCAGCAGTGTCAGTGGAGGCAAACGGCCACGGAGTCAGAGCACCAGCTCTTGCTCTCCACTGCAGCCGTACCACCACGGCCAGTAGTGGTGCCGGTGTGCACGGAGGAAGTAGCAGTCAGTAGCCAGTGAGGAGTAGCGGGGGCAAAGTTTCCTACTCGGCGGTGTGTGGCAATTTTTCGTCAAGCCGCCCGAGGAAGTAAACGTAGCCGTATGTCGACTATGCTGGCCATGGCCCCGTCTGAGGTGCGTCCAGAAAGTCAAGTCAAGGTGCCAGGGGGCCCATGTCTCCATCGCCACACTCTGCCATGTGCCACTTTCAGGTCTCCTCACACTGCTGGTGGGTTCCATTTTGTCATAGGGTGCTGGCAGATTACGGGCCTCCCATTGCTGCTGCCAGCCCGTAATCTGTCATGGGCCCCTGTACCCCGCCTCCTCATGCTGCTGCCAGGGGTCCAGAGTCTCTCATGGGTCCCTGTACGGCCTCCCATTGCTGCTGTCTCCATCGCCACACTCTGCCATGTGCCACTTTCAGGTCTCCTCACACTGCTGGTGGTTCCATTTTTGTCATAGGGTGCTGGCAGATTACGGGCCTCCCATTGCTGCTGCCAGGCCCCGTAATCTGTCATGGCCCCTGTACCGCCTCCTCATGCTGCTGCCAGGTCCATGGTAGTCTCACTCATGGGTCCCTGTAACGGCCTCCCATTGCTGCTGTCTCCATCGCCACACTCTGCCATGTGCCACTTTCAGGTCTCCTCACACTGCTGGTGTGTTCCATTTTGTCATAGGGTGCTGGCAGATTACGGGCCTCCCATTGCTTGCTGCTGCCAGGCCCGTAATCTGTCATGGGCCCCTGTACCGCCTCCTCATGCTGCTGCCAGGTCCAGAGTCTCTCATGGGTCCCTGTACGGCCTCCCATTGCTGCTGTCTCCATCGCCACACTCTGCCATGTGCCACTTTCAGGTCTCCTCACACTGCTGGTGGGTTCCATTTTGTCATAGGGTGCTGGCAGATTACGGGCCTCCCATTGCTGCTGCCAGGCCCGTAATCTGCCATGGGCCCCTGTACCGCCTCCTCATGCTGCTGCCAGGTCCAGAGTCTCTCATGGGTCCCTGTACGGCCTCCCATTGCTGCTGTCTCCATCGCCACACTCTGCCATGTGCCACTTTCAGGTCTCCTCACACACTGCTGGTGGGTTCCATTTTGTCATAGGGTGCTGGCAGATTACGGGCCTCCCATTGCTGCTGCCAGGCCCGTAATCTGTCATGGGCCCCTGTACCGCCTCCTCATGCTGCTGCCAGGTCCAGAGTCTCTCATGGGTCCCTGTACGGCCTCCCATTGCTGCTGTCTCCATCGCCACACTCTGCCATGTGCCACTTTCAGGTCTCCTCACACTGCTGGTGTGTTCCATTTTGTCATAGGGTGCTGGCAGATTACGGGCCTCCCATTGCTGCTGCCAGACCCGTAATCTGCCATGGGCCCCTGTACCGCCTCCTCATGCTGCTGCCAGGTCCAGAGTCTGTCATGGGTCCCTGTACGGCCTCCCATTGCTGCTGTCTCCATCGCCACACTCTGCCATGTGCCACTTTCAGGTCTCCTCACACTGCTGGTGTGTTCCATTTTGTCATAGGGTGCTGTGGCAGATTACGGGCCTCCCATTGCTGCTGCCAGGCCCGTAATCTGTCATGGGCCCCTGTACCGCCTCCTCATGCTGCTGCCAGGTCCACAGAGTGTCATGGTCCCTGTACGGCCTCCCATTGCTGCTGTCTCCATCGCCACACTCTGCCATGTGCCACTTTCAGGTCTCCTCACACTGCTGGTGGGTTCCATTTTGTCATAGGGTGCTGGCAGATTACGGGCCTCCCATTGCTGCTGCCAGGCCCGTAATCTGCCATGGGCCCCTGTACCGCCTCCTCATGCTGCTGCCAGGTCCAGAGTCTCTCATGGGTCCCTGTACGGCCTCCCATTGCTGCTGTCTCCATCGCCACACTCTGCCATGTGCCACTTTCAGGTCTCCTCACACTGCTGGTGGGTTCCATTTTGTCATAGGGTGCTGGCAGATTACGGGCCTCCCATTGCTGCTGCCAGGCCCGTAATCTGCCATGGGCCCCCGTACCGACTCCTCATGCTGTGACGTTGCAACAAGGTGGAATTCAACCCTACATATGTTAACCGCCTTTACGAACAGCGAAAAAGGCCATCACCGATTTCCTGATGTTACAAGCGGATAAAGGTACTCCCCTGTGTAACTTAGATGTCAGCCATTGGCAGCTCATGCGTGACACCTGCCGCTTGCTCAGGCCCTTTGAGGAGGCCACGCTATTCGTTGAGTCGGCAGGACTATGGGATGAACGACGTCATTCCTCCCTGTTGCACGTCCTGGAACAAATGCTGTTAACAATGGCTGGTCAGGGTGCGGTAGACGTGGCGCACAGATCTCAATGCCACATGACCCCTGTGGGGGCAGGACAGGAAGAAGAGGAGGAGGTAGAGGAGGACATTGGTGCTCAGGAATTATTGAGTGAAATGGGTGGTTTTTCCACTCAGCGGACAGGAGTGGAGGAGCAGGAGCATCTGTAGAGGAGGAGGAGGAGGAGGAGACAGAGGACCCAGACGCACCGTGGCAGTATGCTGTGGAGATGGAGGCAGGGAGTCCCCTCGCATTCCTTGGCACAAATGGCCCATAGCATGCTCGCTTGCTTGCGTAGCGACAGCCGAATAATAACCATCAAGACAGAGGGATGACTTTTGGCTGTCCACCTTGTTGGACCCTCGCTACCGTTCAAAAATGGTGGCCTTTTTTCACACCTGCTGAGAGGGAGGCCAAAATAACGTACTATAAAAACCACCTATGTAGTCAGTTGGTCTCTGCCTTTCTGCGCCAACGTCCATCCTCAGACACTGTGGGCCCTGTGCGCGCTCGCGTTCCGCTGCCATGGCAGCAGGGGAGGGGTGGGGTGGTAGGAGCAGTGGCAGCTCCACCAGCAGCGGCTGCCTCAGTCTGCAGTCGATGATGAGTAGCTTTCTTCACCAGCGCAGTGAGGAAACTACTAACCAGCCGCAGCAGCAGCAGCAGCAGCATCAGGTGGACCTGGAGCAGGACCTCAAACAACAGGCTTGGGCCTACTTGGAAAGCACCCTGCCAACCGAGGTAGACAATCCCCTTGACTACTGGGCAACGAAACTTGACCTTTGGCCCCAACTAGCTGAATTTGCCCTTGAAAGGCTGTCATGCCCGGCCAGTAGCGTGGCATCGGAGCGCGTGTTTAGTGCGGCAGGAGGTATTGTAACTCCGCGGAGGACACGACTGTCCACCCAAAGTGGAGAGACTCACGTTTGTGAAAATGAATCAGGCGTGGATTAGTCTGGTTTTCAAACCACCAGTTCCTGACACAACTGACTAAATCCGCCATGAATCATGCCCCAAACATGTTAACTCTGCCATGTGCCACTTTCAGGTCTCCTCACACTGCTGGTGGGTTCCATTTTTTGTCATAGGGTGCTGGCAGATTACGGGCCTCCCATTGCTGCTGCCAGGCCCGTAATCTGCCATGGGCCCCCGTACCACCTCCTCATGCTGCTGCCTTGCCAGGTCCAGAGTCTCTCATGGGTCCCTGTACAGCCTCCCATTGCTGCTGTCTCCATCGCCACACTCTGCCATGTGCCACTTTCAGGTCTCCACACACTGCTGGTGGGTTCCATTTTTGTCATAGGGTGCTGGCAGATTACGGGCCTCCCATTGCTGCTGCCAGGCCCGTAATCTGCCATGGGCCCCCGTACCGCCTCCTCATGCTGCTGCCAGGTCCAGAGTCTCTCATGGGTCCCTGTACGGCCTCCCATTGCTGCTGTCTCCATCGCCACACTCTGCCATGTGCCACTTTCAGGTCTCCTCACACTGCTGGTGGGTTCCATTTTGTCATAGGGTGCTGGCAGATTACGGGCCTCCCATTGCTGCTGCCAGGCCCGTAATCTGTCATGGGCCCCTGTACCGCCTCCTCATGCTGCTGCCAGGTCCAGAGTGTGTCATGGGTCCCTGTACGGCCTCCCATTGCTGCTGTCTCCATCGCCACACTCTGCCATGTGCCACTTTCAGGTCTCCCTCACACTGCTGGTGGGTTCCATTTTGTCATAGGGTGCTGGCAGATTACGGGCCTCCCATTGCTGCTGCCAGGCCCGTAATCTGTCATGGGCCCCTGTTCCGCCTCCTCATGCTGCTGCCAGGTCCAGAGTCCTCTCATGGGTCCCTGTACGGCCTCCCATTGCTGCTGTCTCCATCGCCACACTCTGCCATGTGCCACTTTCAGGTCTCCTCACACTGCTGGTGGGTTCCATTTTGTCATAGGGTGCTGGCAGATTACGGGCCTCCCATTGCTGCTGCCAGGCCCGTAATCTGCCATGGGCCCCTGTACCGCCTCCTCATGCTGCTGCCAGGTCCAGAGTGTCTCATGGTCCCTGTACGGCCTCCCATTGCTGCTGTCTCCATCGCCACACTCTGCCATGTGCCACTTTCAGGTCTCCTCACACTGGTGGTGTGTTCCATTTTGTCATAGGGTGCTGGCAGATTACGGGCCTCCCATTGCTGCTGCCAGGCCCGTAATCTGCCATGGGCCCCCGTACCGACTCCTCATGCTGCTGCCAGACCCGTAATCTGTCATGGGCCCCTGTACCGCCTCCTCATGCTGCTGCCAGGTCCAGAGTGTGTCATGGGTCCCTGTACGGCCCTCCCATTGCTGCTGTCTCCATCGCCACACTCTGCCATGTGCCACTTTCAGGTCTCCTCACACTGCTGGGTGGTTCCATTTTGTCATAGGGTGCTGTATGGCCTCCCATTGCTGCTGCCTCCACCGCCACACTGTGGCTCCACACTCTGGTTTTGGCCCCGTGACTGCCCAAATGAGTGAAGTGTGCGGTGATTCTAAGATCGACGGCACTCATCTGCATGTCATACTGACTGACAGTATTATTTCTCTTCCCCAGCAGACTCCAAGGGCATTTAAATTAAGGGTACAGTGTTCTACACTAATATAAAGGCTCTCTGAAGCCTACAAACACCCTTTTTATAAGTTAAATTCGCAGCGAATATATTCGCATCGAATCAAATTTATTCCTCGGGACGAGAATGGCTGCTTAAATCCGGAGCTCCCGCCGGCCGGACCGATCCTCCACACCGCACAGAGGAGTCGGGTGAGACAGTGCCCCTTCGTTATGGGAAACCCGACAGGATGCCCTCCGGCGCACGGTCCCGGTCCCCAAGGGGCCCTAGCTCCACTGGGAGGAACATAAGGGAGCTGTTCAGCTCCCACCAGCAGAGAGCAGGGCCGCAGCCTTCTCCCTCTCTCTCTCCGTCCCCCTCTCCCCCTCCCTCTGCAGCCGAGGACACAGGCTGCTCATCCCTGCTCTGAGACACACGCTGGCCAGGATACAGTGCCACAACATGATGTCTCCTCTGCCACACAGTCCCTCTCATTAAGGGACTTACAGGCTGTGGCTGCAGACATTAAGGTCACACTAACCACTACACTGACCACTGCCCTTAACGACCTGCGCGAGGATATCCCGCGATATGGGGTCCAGAATGGAACAAGTAGAGCTGGGGGCGCTAGGCAAACTAAGACCGCCATAGTATATTTACAGCGACAGTCAGAGTCGCACACCACCTCGACTATCCGGGATTTTTACAAGCATATTGAGGATTTAGACCAACCGTGGCCGTAGACACAATATCAGAATCCGTGGCATGCCGGAATCCGTGGAAGCCACTGACATTCCGAAGGCCGTAACTACCATCTTTAATGACCTCCTAGGCCGCCCGCCAGCAACTCCAATTGACATCGAGCGCGTACATAGGGCCCTCCGGCCTAGGGGGGGTGACGCGGCCCCACCCAGGGATGTTGTATGCTGCATTGTCAGCTTCCCAATCAAGGAGGATATCCTCAGATGTGCAAGGGACAGAAGACATATAATTTACAAAGGGCGGAAATACAACTGTACCAGGAC